TAGTATTATCAAATGATGTACTAAACACACACGGCACACCTGGAAATGCGGATGGCTGAACCGAGCCGTGGTACCACGCCAGCCTGCCGGGTGAGTGCTGAAGGTGGGGCCGCTCCGCAGTGGATCTTTTCACTCACTTCTCCTGGGATGAAAGAACTTTCTCTTTCTTTTATAATGACATGGAGCAAGCCTCTTGTTTCACCTAAAAGTGGTAACCGAGGGATTGCTAGAATAAAGATATCAGCAGATTTGCCTGTCTGATCAGGCAGGGGCCGACCTTGGAAACTTTCTTTCCATCTTTTCCCACCGGCGTCAGGAACTGACCCCTGAGCTACATCCCCAGCCCGGAGACCTTGCAAACTTTCTGAAGAAGATCCAAACTAAGAGTTATACTCCTTTTTGAATAAATTTGTACAAACAGGCTTGAAGTCCCATCGTTCCAATTAGGCAAAAGCAGAACTCTCAACAGTGACTTCATTAGTTCCCATGGGTCTTTGTTCCTAAATCCATGCAGGAAGGTACCTGAGTGACTGCCAAGCAAGGAGCTGGCACCCTGGCACCCAAAACAACAGGCTGGAATGGCCCTGCAATCTGAGCATTCTGTCACCTGCTTCAGGTTCCTCGTCAATGCTCAGACCCGTGCAGAAAAAGTCAAACACTTTCATTACACCTAGAAGCCAGAATGGGCATTGAGCCGCCTTCCCATTATTCAAATGGGCCAGTTGCTTTAAATATTGGGGTTATTCTCATCACAGTAGACAAAAATAAGCTGTTGAAAAATCTTAATTACATCCCATCCCTTGGGCTAGTTAATAATATTCAATCTAGATGAAAATGGCCACGTTTTAGATTTGCATGCTGATGTGCCTCACTTGAATACCATTCCCTCACTAAACAATCAATTGGAGGCTTTAAGAGCGCAGCTCCCTGACCCTGAACTGGCATATTTGAAAGAAACCACTACTTTATCGGCAGGGATTATGGTAAAATGGTCCCATAAAAGATGAGCAAATTTTCCCATTACTTTCCCAAATTGAATCATTCTTGGCTGTTTGCTGTGATAATAATGATCAACTCAACCCTAAGATAAAAGCAAAACAGGAAAATAGATCCATACACCTTACCAGTTAAGGGAATATGTCGCTTTTAAAAAGCAATCTTAAGATGATGTTTGGGAGGAAGGGAGATGGCTCAGTGGTAAAAGCACTTTCTACACAAGCCTGGAAACCTGAGTGTGATCCCCAGAACTCATAGAGAAAGACCCAGCACACATCTGCAAGCCTAGCACTCCTCCAGCGAGATGGGAGACCGACACAGAGCAATCACCCAGAAGTTCACAGCCCCGCTGGCCTGGAGTGCATGGTGAAATGGCAGAAACAAGAGGAATCCTGCCTCAAATCGAGGCAGACGCCACGGCTCAACGACTGAGAATTGTCCTCTGACCTCCATGGGCTGCTGTCCCCATTCCTCTAACCTCATCAAGCATCTTCACCTAGGATACAGGATGTGACGGTGACCAGAGGTCCATGAACTAGTTAGGTCTTCTCTGACCTAATCTAATGCTCTCTCCATGGTCACATAGGCCCCAAGTGCAGCAACCAGGCAGCTGGTAGTGAAAGCCTTAAAATGGCCACAGTAACACTATTTATAGGGGGAGAGACACCAAGCATCAGATTAAATGGTTTGGGGTCACCTGGGGCTGGTTCAACGTTTCTTACCCTTACTCACCTATTCTCATCACTAAGGGTTGGGGAGTAGGGCTCAGCCATCGGCTGAGTTCAGCATCCCCCGCTCAAGCAACTCAGTTTCTGTCTGCTCTCAATCCCCTTCTTTCCCAGGAGTTCCAGTCTCAGGACTAACACCAATCCTCAGGGAGGGCCTCGGGGACCCCTGGAACTGTGGAGTTGAAGGGAAGTTTGACAGCAAGCAGCAGCAATGAGTCAGTCAAGCTCCCAAAGGGATGTCATTCTAGGCTCTATTGTAGACCAGTGGCTCTCAACCTTTCTAATGATGTAACCCTTTAGTACGATTCCTTATGTCGTGGGGACCCTCAACCATAAAATTATTTTTGTTGCTACTTCAAAACTGTAATTTTGCTACTGTTATAAATATCTGGTATGTGACCCCTGTGAAAGCATCCTTGGACCCCCTCCCCCCAAGGTGTTGTGACTCACAGGTTGTGAACCACTGTTGTGGACTACGTCAGAAGCCTCCTTTTAAAGATTGACTAATATTTCCTCATATGGACATACCAAATTTTACTTACTAAGTCATCTGTCAGTAAACATTGCTCCCACATTTTTACTCGGATGAACCATGCTGCTATGATTATGGGTATGTAAATATCTTACTGAGACCCTGTTTTCAGTTCTTTAGGATATACACCAGAAATAAAATTGATACAGTAAATCTATTTTTAATTTTTTGAACAATCACTGTCTTATTTTCCATGGCAGCTGTACCATTTTCTATCCCCATCAACAATGCATAAAGGGCTCTAATCTGTCTGTCCCAACACCAGTATTTGATATTATCTGTTCTCTGGAGTTGCTTTATTGTGTTCCATTAACAGTAACCATCCTAGCTGGGCGGTGGTGGCACACACCTATAATCCCAGCACTCTGAGGCAGAGGCAGGCAGATCTCTGTGAGTTTGAGACCAGCCTGGTCTACAAGAGCTAGTTCCAGGACAGCCTCCAAAGTCACAGAGAAACTCAAAAAAAACAAAACAAAACAAAACAAAACAGTAGTCATCCTAATGGGGTTGAGGTAGCATTAACAGTTTTGATTTGAATTTCCCTATTTGTGCCTTTTCATGTGTTTATTGGTTACTTGCATATCTCAGAAGAAATGTCAACTCATGCACTAGGTCCATATTTTTATATCTATATGTTGTGTGCGTGTGCAAACCATGACTCACATGTGCAGGTCAGAGGACAACTTGTGGGAGTTGTGGGTCTTGGGGAAAGAACTATGTGGATCTGGGGAACTGAACTTAGTTCATCAGGCTTGCTGGCAGAGGTCTCTCCCCACTGAGTGATCTCACCTGCCACTAGTCCCATTTTTGAATCAGATAATTAGTTGTGGTTGCTGACTTTGGATAGCTCTGTCTATATCCTGGGTATTTTTCCCTCTTCACAGTCTACAGGTATGTTACCCACCATCCTGTGGGTGACTTCTAACTTGGTTGCTTCTTTTCTATACCCATGGCCACCAGATCATGAAAAGCTTATGACTTGGGTTGTCTACTTCCTCTTCCTTCATTGCCCTGGGCATCAACTGTCAACCATGCTTGGTCATGCCATCTTTGCATGGCAAGCGTTCTTCCAAGGAGATCACAAAGTTGGTCCAGGGTCATCCAGTACATGAATCGGCAGAGTCCATGGTTATGGGCAACATTCTAGGAAGAAATGCAAGATGCTGGTGGGGAAACCTGGTGTCCTCACAAGGATACCCCAATCTAGCTCAGTCATTGAATCCTCCAAGACAATATAGACTGCTGAAAACCATCAGGAGTCAGGCTCTTGAGTCAGACTGTTACAAATACGTCTCAGGGCTTGGCTGCACCATGAACCTCTCCACACTGATAGAGACAGAAATGTGTTCCCAGAATCTATAAAATAGCGAGGGGTGTGGATGTGTCCCTGAGGGACGAGACCCCTCAAGGTGACTCCTAAGTCCTCATTTTTACACTCTCCTGTTTCCAGGGTCCCTCTCATTCCACACTGGCTGCCAGGACCTCAGCTGCACTCGTCATTGTGCAGAGTGGCCTGGCTCCCACAGTTCCCTCCTCTTCAGATTCACATCTAATATGCCAGAGGCTGAGAAACCAAATAAAAGAGCTGATTATAATTTTGTCTGGAAAACAACAGATGAATCTGGCTGGGCCTGAGAAGTGTCTCAGAGCACACAAGGGGGGGGGGGACTTTTGGCTGCTAAGAACTCTAGGTCATTAGCCTAAAGCCAATCTCTTAATATGAAATTGGCCTACACTTTTTTAATTTTGTTTTTTTGAGACAGGGTTTCTCCTGTAGCCCTGGCTGTCCTGGAACTCACTCTGTAGACCAAGCTGGCCTCATACTTGGAGATTAGCCTGCCTCTGCCTCCCAAGTGCTGGGATTAAAGGCTTGTGTCATCACCACCTGGCAAAATTGGGCTACATTTTTAAGACTTTTGGATGGTCTCTACCTGCCAATGTCTTTGGCTTTTTTGTCTCCTCTCATTTCTTTGGCATTTATTTGTGGGCACACCAAGCTGTTTTTAAATTTCAGTTTTTGCTTAATTTTTTAGCTAAATCCATTTTTTTTCCTTAGACGCCAACAATGAAAGCAAAACCACTCAAATTGACAGTGGATTTCTAGTAAATTGGTTCATAGGTAAATCCATATAAGACCTGCTTTTGAGGGATATATTACATCTAATTTTTATTTTTGGGATTGTGAAAACTGTCACAAAATGCACAATTTAGTCATACTAGAATACACAGAGTCTCGTGTCACTTATGTCTGTCCTCTCCCCTCTGTTTGGTGGTGGCACAGGAAAGTCACAGCAGCAGTTCTGGCTGCCACTAGAGAGGTCACCTTGCTTCCTCTGGCCATGTCTTTTCACCATGAGGACAACTTATGGGGAGGGCCAGGAAAGGAGCCACCAGCAGGTTCACGATACAAACCAACTGTACTAGTGAGACTATTTGAGGAGCTGTTTGTTTGTTTGTGTTTGTGGCGCTTTTGTGGACGGGATTGTGTGTGTGCAGACACATGTGCTCATGTGTATGTAGAGGCATATGTGTGCAGATACACGAGCACATGGGTATGTGTTCCTACAGAAATCAGCCCCGGGTGTCCCTGCGACACTGTCCATCTTGACTTTCTGAGAAAGGGCCTCTCCTTGGAATCTGGGGCTCACTGATTTGGTTAGCCTGGATGGCTGCCAGGTTCTAGGGATCCTCCTGTATCCTCTTCCCACTGGTGGGAATCTTTTTTTTTTTTTTTTTTTTTTTTGCTACATAAAGCACTGTTTTATTTTTCCAAGGTGTTTGTCTTCATGAAGCCATCTCTTTACATGGGCTTTGGTGGAGGTCGTGGTGCAGCACCAGCGGGTCTAAACCGTGGTGGGGGTGTTCGGTCCTTCCGGGCTTCACGAGATCGATTCCTGACTACTTTGCTGTGAATGGCACAGCTCACACTGTAGTGCAGCTTGACATAGAGCTTGGGAAGCCCATAAGCGTCGAAGACGCTCGCTTCGGATATGTCCCTGACAGCAGCGGCCTCCACTATGTTCCGAATGAGGAACTTCTTAATTGCCTTGTCCTTGGGCACGCACCGGGCGCAGTTCGTGCAGCGAATGGGCTGCACGTGGCCGCGGCCCTTTTTGGCGCGCCCGTTGTTTCGTCTTTTTTTTTTGGTCATCTTGGAGCCAAGACCCGAAAGAGGACCACTGGTGGGAATCTTAAGTGCATGCCACCATATCTGTCCTTTTACATGGGTGCTGGAGACCTAACTCAGGTCTTCATGCGTGTGCAGCAAACACCTTGCTAAATAAATGTCTCCCATAAGTGCCTGGGGCATGTTTTAATAGACGCCAAATAGTACCAGCTTAAATCAAAATGTTTGCACGCTTACTTCTGACACACAAGCCCCACAGGATGGGCAATCTCAGGGATGTAGGACATTAGCACAATGAAGGTACCAAGGAGTTTCTTCTTTGCTACACTACTAACCCCTTGCCCATCTCCCACATCTGCATGGTCATAGGTAACTTACGCAGAACAACCTGGTTCTCATAGTTCCCTCCTGTTTTGACTCACATCGAATGTGTCCTTGGTCTCATCAAGAGGAAGATGGAAAAAGAACATGAATAACTTGCTCCTTTACCTTAAGACTGAACTCATGCCTGCCATGTCCATTCATCAGACAGGAAGTGAAATCACTTTGCTATTACCAGTAGCTGGCCACTTAAAGCTCACGGGTTCTGCTAATGAAAAGAAAAAGCAGGGGCCACACACAGTGACCAACTAGCAATTAAGTATGTATTTCAAAGATAAAATGAGGGCTGGGGTTGGAGCTCAGTGGGTGGAATACTTGCACAGCATGAAAAAATGCCCTGGGCTCCATCCTCAGATTTGCATAAACTATGGATGTTGGTGCACACCTATAATCCCAGCACTGGAGAGGTGGAGAAAGGAGGATCAGAAGTTCAAGCTCATCTTCAACCACACAGTGAGTTCAAGGCCAGCCTGGTCTATATGAGACTCTGTCTCAAAACAAACAAACAAGTTAAAGTTCACAAACAGAGACAATAAGCACCAAATTCAGGAGTATGGTCCCTTGGGGCACAAGGAGCAAAGAGAATGGGGGCAGGAGACTGCAAGGATTATTAATCATACCTTCCCATGTTTTATTTTTTAACAAAATTTGAGACAGAGGCTGGAAAGATGGCTCCAAGGTTAAGCACACTCGCTGCTCTTGCAGAGGACCAATGGGCTTGGTTCCTTGCATCCACGCGGCAGCTCATAACTTTCTGTAACTCCAGTTCTAAGAGATCTGATACCCTCTTTTAGCCTTTTTGGGCACTAGGCATGTGCATGGTCCACAGACATATACGCAGGTACAACACTCATACACATAAAATAAAAATAAATCTTACAAAATATTAGAGGTGAGCACAGCAACATGTTGGGGCCTGGCTACATTGCAGAGCAATTACAGGATGCTTTGCCTTTTCCGACTTAGAAAGACCACATTTTAAAAGGCAGCAAAACTTAGCATTCTCTCAACTGCCCTCCTGCAACTCAGTGCATTGTCAAAATGTATTCCATCAATTGAAAAGACACATCCTGCTAAGAACTCTCTAAAATGAGTGCCTCTGATACCTTAGCAGCACACAAGACCGCTACATGTTACACCAGGCAATGACTTAGATTTGAAGACAGTGTATCAATAATGTATGTAATGACACTACTGCGAGGGAGCCTGAGGAGAGCAGTGCCCCACGAGGGAGCATCGCAAGGTCTAAGAGGCCCTCAGAGGTGCCGGTGACCTGATGATACCCTCACCAGGTCCAGCTTGCAGTCAAGGTTACTTTTACTGTGTCCGTGCCTCTGGCTGAGGTCATTCTAAATCGACACATTCAGGCTCACGTCCTCTGAACCTTAGGAAAACTCATCCAATGAAAGCCTCCTTTTATTCCCTCTAAAATGCTCAGAAATCTACCCAGCATGATGGTTGGTCTTCATTGTCAATTTGACTGGATTTAGAATCACCATGGAAACACACATCTGGGCGTATAGCTCTGAGGGTATTTCCAGAAAGGTTTAACAAGAAAGGGATGGCCTACTCTGAATAAGAGTGGCACCACTCCATGGGCTGGGGTCCCAGATTGACTAAAACTGAGGTCTCAGACTGAATAAAAAGAAAAAGAAAGCTGATCACCAGCATTCATCTCTGTGTGTTGACTACGGATGCAATTCTACTGCCAGTTAGACCTGTCCCAGCCATCATGCCTTCCCCAGTATAATGAACTGTACTCTCAAACCATGAGCCACAATAAAACTGTCTTTCCATAAGCTACTTTCATGAGATACTTTGTCAAAGGTAAAGAAGAGCAATTAACACAGCCAGCAGGAAATAAAAGCATAAACTGCACCCTCAAATTAAGATCAACCTCCAGTAACAAGAAAAGTTACTTTGGAGTTGCAGCATGGAGGTGATGGCCCAAGGCTTTAATCCCAGCATTTGGGAGGCAGAGGCAAGTGGATCTCTGAGTTCAAGGTCAGCCTGGTCTACAGAGTGAGTCCCAGGATAGTCAGAAGTACACAGAGAAACCCTGTCTCGGAAAGCCAAAAAGGGAAGAAGTTGTATTTCTAGACCCAAATTTGAGTAGGCTGAGAGGGTGTGGCATGTTCCCTCTAAGAACACATGGTTGTTCCCTCACCCAGGGTCCTGTCCATCGAGGAAGGCCACCCAGACAGCCAGCATCCTCTTCTTTTCATGGCTGGCACATGCTACTATAGTTCTGCCTTATTGAAAATTAGCTAAGAACCCCTTAGTAACACTATCTCCTCAATATTATCAAAATGCTGATGAACCACAAAACAGGAGGGAGGGAGGGAGGGAGGGAGGGAGGGAGGGAGGGAGGGAGGGAGGGAGGGAGGGAGGGAGGGAGGGAGGGAGGGAGGGAGGGAGGGAGGGAGGGAGGGAAGGAATCCATACAGCCAGTTTCTATCTGAACACAGAACACCATTTCTTTAAAAAAATTATTTATGACCGTTTCTTCATCTCTCACATTCAGTTAGTATACAGTTGGCATTTTCAAAATGCAAACCTGATGTGGTTTTGGAATTCGCTGAAGTGCACTGGAAGGCATCTGAGTGGTAGTGTGTGTGGTGGGGGGAGTTGCAGCCATATGCTGCTGGCGCACGGATTTGAATATTTGCAAGGTAATCTAGAAAAGCGACGGCTTCTAGTTCTCCTTATCAACAGGGGTCATTCATAGCAACCACACGTCTTATAGATTGAGCTGCTTCCCCCACATGTGAGACAATTACAGGAGGAAGTCAGGGGCTGGTCTCCCATCGAAGTGCAGCTAGTTCAAGGCCACTGGACAGGTAACTCGGCAGTTCTCCTTATCACAGAGGAGGGAGGCATAATGGCTATGGCCACAATATTTTTCCAAAAAAAATCTTCAAGTTTGGTGAACATAGAGGAAAAGCTGCAGGACCACTCACAACGGCTGCCTCCAGAAAGACCAGCAACACTGCGAAATCAAGCATCTCTCCTATCACGCCCATCTGGTTCGCTGCTTGCTTGCATTCTGTTTATCTGAACAGCACAAAGGAAATGAACAGAGCCAAGCCCACGGCAGGGACTCTTCCCCCTGGCTCTGACACTGGTTTGCACCCTGAGAGGGATGGGAGGAACCCCTGTAACAGAGCTAGGAAGGTTTGCCTGACAGAGCTCATCAGCCTTGCTCATTCTGTTCCCGGGCCAGGCCTCTAACTGGGTCATTCTGTCAGAGAACACACAACCGAGTGTGGTTGGGGCTGGAGAAATGGCTCAGTGGTTAAGAGCACTGGCTCTTCTTCCAGAGGTCTCAAGTTCAATTCCCAGCAATCACATGGTGGCTCACAACCATCTGTAATGGGATCTTTTCCGGTGTGCATGAAGGCAGGTCACTCAAATACATAAAATAAATATATTTTCTTAAAAAGAGTGTGGTCATGTGCATGACTAATCTGTTTACTTGCTTGTAGGGGACACTGACTCACATAAGACCAAACTCTATAGTATTACTCTGGCTCACTCACCAAGCCCCATTTCAGAGACCCCAAAACAATGTAAGTACAGGCTTGCAATGTCACCTAAAAGTTAGTCCAAACACTAAACACTTTGCTTCCTATGCTTTGGGGAAGGAAATGGATGTAGACTTGTACCAGAGGCAAGCAACCTGACCACCATATTGATGAGGAGGAAGAATGTGACATAGCACTGGTTTTGGGTCGAATCTGGCCATGGTTCTCAGTGGACAGACTTCTCCATCAGCTCAGCCCATAGAAACGTGCGCTTATCCCTGAAGTACGAAAAAGAACAACTCCAGGACCATGGCTCCATATGAGAAGGCTGGCATGTCTCCTTTGGTCCTGTCTACCACCAGGGTTACTACAATGTTCCCCTCAACCCCATCCCACATCTGAAACTAACCAGAACCTCAGGTCTGGAAGCTGTGGCTTCACAGAGACCTTCTTCTTGGTGTGACATTTCCCTAAGACGACACATGAGAACCCTACCACTCCTACCAAAGCATGCTCTTTCTAGAAGCATCTGTAGCCAGAGGCCCATGTGACTTCTCTGCCCCTGGTTAGTTCAATTACTGACCCAGAGTCCCTCTAGTGGATCCAGCACCTAAGTTCTCCAAGAGCTCCTGAAGCAGACAAATGAGCCCGTGGTAAAGCATGCACTTCCTCACCAGGGTAGCTGTCCCTGAGATCTGGAATGATCTCAGGCAGTGAAACACAACATAAGGTGTGGGGACGATGTGTGATGCATGAATTAGCTCCCTACGGAGTTTTGGCCCCACTGGGTTGTGATAGCCAGACCTCTTCTCCCCAGCCCAACAAAAAGCATGGCCAAGGCCATTCTTGCTGTGGTGGTATGTTTGCTGGGGTCTAGGCCACCTAACCAAGTACTGTCCCTGAACACATCTGCCTCAAGCGGCCTGGGCAGTGGCTGATACAGCAGCCAGTGGGGTAACCCTGAAAGCCACCCTCAAAGCACAGTGGTAAGGATTTGAAGCAAACTAGACCACAGCCAGCTCTTGTGGAATTCCAGGGTGGTAAGGTAAGAAGCCGCTGGGCAAGAGAAAGAACTATCAAGTTGCCCCACCAGTGGAAAAAAACACAGTGACAAATGAGGACCAACTTCTGTGACAGTCCTTAGCAAGCCAGGAAACACTTGAGAAATCTGAGAATTTGACCACATCTAGAAACCAAGGCTCAGTAGTCATTCAAGAGTGGAGTGAGCGCTTTGCTGAAAAGGTCTTTCTATATTGGATTATAAACCACACATCACCTTGTCTTAACTTTACTAAACACATTCTGAAAGAGATCAACTTTAACTTTATTTAGGTCATGCTGTTGACATGCACAAATAATGGGATGTCTGTGGCTAATTCAGAAACTACAAACAAAGGTCAATACTTTACTGGTGCCTCTGCTCCCAATAATCGGTGAGTAGTATAAGTCACACCTAAGGTTGTCCTCTGCCCCCACATGTTCAC